GTCAAACGTATATATGCACATGGTCGGTTTCGCGTCGCGAATCCGATTCTGCGACCGCCGTGGCGTTGCGATCCCTCGTTACACCGCTAGACCTTCCGCATTCGGCGAAATTATCGAAATAAGGATTTGCCACCTGATATAAGATCGTTTTGCTTCAAGTCTTATATGCCCAGGACCTGTTTAACGACGCGAATCCGACGGCACCCATCGTTCGGCGATGCGATCCCCCGTTGATATTAAGAATTGCCTGTTTCGGAAGTTTTGATCTCCCTCCAAGAATATTTTCCAGTGCATGTGGGGACTTTCTTTCATGGTACACCTGTTCGGACACATCGTCCCGACATGTGGATATAGTTTCCAGCTAGGCCGTACCATTTCCCCCTGTGTTATAACCTCACGAGAATTCCCTCAAAAGTTGTTTGAACCAATGAGACTGTCCTTGATATAAGCTACTAGATGCGCTTATAATAATTTACTTTAAGCTCTAGGTGACGCTTATATGAACTGCGAGAAGGACCGAAACAGGCCTATATGAATCCGGCCTGGGTCCAGGCTGCCGGATCAGATACATAGGGTTGGGGGGATCTGCCTCGATCCACGAGGACGCGCATGTCTATGGCGCGAGGTCGATAAATTGAAACCTTGGTAAACATAGAAACGCGGTGATTAGTGTATGTCCACTCATCCTGAATTGTGAATCGGATTCCGGTGGTGAACACAACTTGTCGCGGAGTGTCTCTCAATCATTTAGCTTAGCATAGACGGTCAAAATGAACTACAGACGGGTGAGTGTTGGGTGGGGGTCGTCACGGACGAAATGGAAAATTATAACGAGTCCGGGCTAAGCTACCTGAAAACAAAAGTCAGCGGGATAAACCCGTACTGGTCTGTGCGGAAAGAGTCTTGAGCATCCGCCTTACGCAAACAATCGACCATCCATGGTGAAACAACAGAGAGATACACCCCCGTGCAGCCGGGGAGGAGAGGCTTCGTCGGATTGCTCTGGAGTCTGGGATCACTGCAACGGTTGAATGGCAAAATTTCGGCTGCCCTTGCGCAACGAATAAGTACATCATAAACTGGGCTAATACCCCGAGACGCACGTTGAGCTTGTAGCAATCAAGCAGAAGAGGTCCATGTGCGCATATGACGATCGTCACGACTCTCATTCATCGTGTGTCGCAAGTGTGTCGAATCTTGGTCGAATCTGCGGAACGACTTACCATTCAGTTGGATCCTACTTCTTGATGAACCAGCAGGTAACGTCCTTCAGTTGCGACTTACACTTTATCGCGCGCTGTCTTCGTATCTGCGAGCAAGTGGGCGAAATCTGAGGAGATGCATTGTGGTAGGAAGAAAGCGGAGATTTGCCATTGATGAATTGATCCGTGGTTGCACAGCCCCCAGGTCGCTTTCTTCTGTTTTCCACCCCAATCCCAGTAAGCTTCGTCGTGCCTGCTCCGTTACGCCTCAAAGTCTTCCTGTCGACTCCACCTTGGCGTGACTCATTCCGCGTGCACTCTTTCGCCACGGCTTTGGGATTCCAGCTTGCGGACACGCCCAGTGCCCAGCGGCCTCAATCCAATCCACTCGTCATCCTTACCAGCCCTGCGCTCCACTCCAGTTCGCTTTCGTTCCCTCAGGCACTGTTAACCCCGCTCCATTCTCTCATCCTGGTCCCATAGCCCAACCCTCGACCATCGCGGCAACGCAAGATCCTCCGCTGTCATCCGCCGGACGTCCTACGACCACCCTTCCCGTTATTCGATGGCCGGACAAAAGACGTTGGACTGAGAGGACGGCAGTGGGAATCGAAGCCACGGTGCGTATTTGTGCACTTTCAATCCACTCCCTTTCCCTTGCCGTGCTTCGGCCTTCCACGACTTGGCATGTACGTATCGCGTCAGTCTTTCCCATCCCAGCCCGTTTATATGCCCTTCATCGACATTTTTCCAACCATGAAACCCTGCCGTGATGCCAGATTCGCTGTAGTCTACACCAACTTCTGATGGTAGCGTTTAATCCACGCCTTCATCAAGTGCGTGGACTTTTTTGCCGAAGGCATACTCGACTCCTGGTAACTCCTCACAGTTTCAGTCCGCTCGTTGCAAGCCCAGTCGATTTGGAACCGGATTTAATCCCTCCAACAATTGACCATCGATCAGGGACGATTGCAATACGCGCTCTTCCTCGCACACCATTCGTTTTCCATTCAAAACAAATTCCTGCAAGTGCTAACCTCCGCAGACGAACTCGCCGCCATTGGCGTAGCTCCACCGTTCTCGCATCTTCCCGTTCGGTCCTGCTGACATATTTCCCCAGATTCAAAAGGTCATTTTCCCCAGCTTCAGATAAAGTCCTCGCTTTAAGACTCGACAAATCAGGTGTTTATCTGTGTTGTATGTAGTCAGTCCACTTGCGCGTCAACGCGAATCTTTTTGAAAATTTGCTGCAGGTCAAAACGAAGTCTTGTCGCAGGCGCACGTGTTGTAATATTTCATTGCGAGCTCAGGTTGCCTGTTATCAACGGGCATCCGGTCGGCACGCCGTCTCACTGGGATTTGACGTCGCTGGAATCGGTGAGCCTTTTGTTCCTGATTGTGTTCCTTGTTTTGCGCTTCGGCAGAAAGGGTCGACATCTGTGAACGTCATCGGTGACGAGAAATGGCTCGAAATTAACACCATGAAATCTTATGGAAGAAATTCGACAGAACTGCGGGATCAGTCCGGCTTTCGCTGAACACCTAGCATCAACTGTGAGTATCTATCTTCTGAGCCGCCCTGATTTAGCGTCCAACAGCAAGCCGTCATCTATCTGGCCTTCCTCGTCGCAAAGGTACTCTTTGAGCACCCTTGAGATACTTGCACCATCCGTCTTCGCTGGCTAACGAGTTAAGTATTGGCTCTGAAATTGGGAACAAGTTCGGAGTCGTCAGCCGCTGAAGAGATTTGACATGACGCAACTGCACCGGCCGTGAGTGCAGTTCAGATGCCGAAAATAGCAGCAACGACGATTCGCAGGTGTCCATGTCGGCCGACTTCTGCTTACTGCGTCCGAGTCGCGTCGAGTAGACTCTTTACAATACGTCTGTACATGCCTTCGAGGTCGAGAACGATACATGAAACAAGCATAGGTCTGTTTTCACCGCCGTACACCACACTGTTCATGTTCTCGGCTGCGAGTGGGGACGGTGTATGTACACCTTGACCTCCACGCTCTGATAGCAGGTTGGCGCGTCTCCGAACTTCAATCCACAAATGAAAAGTCAAGCGAATTTGGAAGACACTAGAGCGGCTAGTAGAGCCACCTTACGCAGAGGAAATCGGGTAAAACTCAATTGAGGTTTATTTTCCTGACGCCTTTCATTTCTTCATAAGGAACCATGTGCAGGGGAAATAAAATGGTTAAAGCAACGAGTCAGGCCTATGACCTGCGTCCGAATCGAACAGACTCCCCGGTTGTACGTCATGTCTATTCTCTGACGGTTCCCAGGGGCGCACCACGCGCCAGCAGGTCTTGCCTACCTCCTTGAGTTCCTGATATTATCGACTCCGGGGTTTTCATCAAGGAAGTCCATTTGAATCACTACAACGCACGGCGCTCCATAATCCTGGTGTAGACAAGGTACTTTTCTTCGTCTTGAATAAATAACCAGATTGTAGAGCAAAGCTATTGCACTGCAGGCAACCTGAACCTACCAGCTATACCAAAAACGTCGGCCGGTAAGGTTTGCACTGACCTTCCTCCGAATCGAGCGCGTAATCTGCCTCTACTGATCAGTGTGGTTGGACATGCTCATCTCTACGACGTGGACAACACGCCCAAGTGAACCCAAGTGAACTGTGTGAGGACCAGGTAAACCCGAAAAATCAGGGAGAATCAGGGCGAAGAGAAAACAGGGGTTTATTCCGCCTTCATTCAGCTGCTGGGAATCGGACACAGTCTTCCCGCTAATTGATCTCTCAAAAGTTCGTACCAGAAGCGGCCGGGCACCGGACACCACGGTTGAAGTAACAGCATCGTTTCCAAGCCTGTTGAGTCGCTTAATCAAGATATCGAGTGCGAGAACCCTAGTGCATACCTCTTTTGAGGTGAAATCCATTGGGATGTCCGCCCGTTCGGAGGCCGGGACTCGAAACTGAGCAGTGGACTGTGGGTGATTGTATACAGGCAGTTGAAGGACCAACTTCGCGTCCTGTTTTCACTAATTCGCGAGACTTTTCGGGGGTTTCCTCACTGAAAGTGGCTGCCAAGACCGTTACGTTTCGCTGGCTATTTGGGAGATTCATAGGATCGGAGGCGTCGGAAGAACGACTAAGAAAATACCTTGAATCCTGGATGTACGCTCAGTCCACAGCTGAAAAATCTATCAGATCTGAAGAGTCGCTTCCTTCCGTCGCCGTGAAGGAGAATCCCAGGAAATTATGAACAGTTGTTCCTATAATCGAGCCACAAGGGATCTGCAAAGCATAGAGAGAGCGGCCGCCAAGTCACCAAGAGCCGTTTCCTAGAGGTGTCATGAGATGAGTTGTCCTGGGTCCATTCAGAATCGAAAAATCAAAACGGGGTGCGGGGGGCGAACCAAACGCCAGCGTGACTTCGCAAGTTTTACAAGGCAGGAAGTTCAGACGTGTGGATCGGGGGTAGCATCTGAATAGACGCAAGATATCCGGTCTAAATTACAGCGATGCGTTGATCATTTCAAGTGAAGACCAACAACCTGGCGAAACAAGCGGATTATACAGCGAAGCAATTGAGCTGCGGGCAGCAGAAACTCAGCGAACCGACCGAATCAAAATAAAATGTCCGGAACACCTACGAATGGCCTGTCCTCGAATCGAACGGTCAATTTGCTTCTCGTCGAACATGCGATCACGAATAAGTCGCAGATGCTTTCCAACGCTAACAGGCCTTCTCGTTGCCTGTATTTGAGGTCAGTTTCTGAGTACACAGTGAACAGGGGGGGACAGAAAAGAAGAAAACAGAACTTCATTCGGCATTCGGCCGCTGGGAATCGAACCCAGTCTCCCCGCTGATTGAAATTGATCGAAGTCCACTACCAGAAGCGGGCGTGGGCAGGACACCACGGCCGAGATAACAACCTCGTTCCCCAACCAGTTAACTTAATTGCAAAGATCTGGTTTTTCAGAAGCCAGTGGAAGACGAGAGAACGGCCGCAAGCTCCTGCAAAGCCATTCGGCGATCAGAATGCACTATGTGCTTTCCTCGTGAGCCGCTCAGTTCGAGAAGAGAACAGTACTTCGTTCGTGGTGAAAAGCATCCTCTTGACCTCCCCATTCGGACCTTGGGAGTCGAACCCAAGCCTCCCACCAGCTATTTCACCCTTACGGAACAGTAGGTGGACGTGCGCCGTGCACCACATCCGATGAAAGTCGACAATTGACATTGCGGCATGTTGTGGTCATTCGGGACCGGAGCTTCAATGAACACAGTCAAGTGCGCGAGAGAAACCTTCGAAGTTGCGCGAGGAACTTGAGATGCGAGGGATGTAGGAATCATTTAGGGCATATGACGAGCATCTGGAAATCTGGGCGCTGAGGATTCGGTGTTGTACCACGGCGCAAGACGGAAGAACGCTTCAGAGTGAACGATTCCAGATCCACCGTGAAGCCGAAAAGAGGACTTGCATGCCGTAGGGACTCATCCCTGAGTGGAAGTTAATCCGCGACGCACGGTTAGCTAGTCATACCAGGAATCATAGCGTGCCTGGCGGCGCGAGACTGATTAGATGGTTCTTTAGGCGTTGAAGCTCTTGTATCGCTAAAATCATTGAACAGAAGTGAATGGCTCGATATTCGGGAGCAAGGATTTCAACGTACAGGGCGGCATGGCGGTGGAGACTTTGAGTGTCCCTCTCGTCCAACGGCAGACTGATTCGATGCGAGCAGCGTCGCAATGAGCGGAGTTTTGAAAATGGTGTGAAAGGATAATCACACCACAGCTCGTGGGCAGCTATATGCGAAGTCTATTAAATGGAAGAACAAAGGTCCCGAGTTTCAGGACCTGCTCTGTGGAAGGTGGTCGCCTTGAACTAGAAGTACGGGCGATTTAGTAGCGTGGCCTAGAGAACGTATTGAGCAACCGTTCAATAAATGAAAGCTAGCAGCGATACGCAAAAAAAACGGACATCGGAAAGGAAGACGCAGAGAAACGTTTCCTGTAGACCACGCCCGTCACTAGTCAACTGGTGCGGATAGTGCTCAGAAGGAAAGACTTGAGGAAAGAACAAGTACACAGCACAGTTGAGTCAAGATTCTGGAAGAAGAGTGAAATGCAGGCGTTGCGGCATTCCCTGAGCTGTGATTTTCCAGTTCGGTACTGAGGAATGGGCTTGGAATTGGAATAGCAATAGGATGGACGATGTGGTGTGGAAGAAAGGGAGTTTGATGGCGCATCACAGGTTTGTGATCCGTTAATCTCTTGCCTTCGACGATGATGACCCTCACGTACGACCCGCCCATGCATCCGGCCAATCCACCCCTTCTCCACAGTTTAATCTAAAGCCCAGAAGACACATTCGCCCAGCCTCAAGCCGTGACACTTCGTTTCGTCTTTTCCTTCTTTGTCGGCTCTCTTTTCTGCATCCACTCCACCCACAGACACCGGCGGCAGCAACACACTTGACTTCTCCCCTCCTTGTGAAAGGAGCGCCGCTTGGAATCAAGCCACCGTTTCCACGAATTGTGCCCTCCGTGCAAACTCCCAAACTCCGTTCATACACATCACAACTCCGAACGGATATGGAGACCCATAGAGGCAGCGCAACAGGTGCGTCTCAGCCGTACAACGCGCGCACGATACTAATTCCTGCATCCTGACCGCCCGATTGATATTCTGCGCACATCATCCTTGCTCTACCGCCCCTACTCTCATCGCCGAACTCTCGACCCGCTCCCTGACCCAGGCCGCACATATGGCAGAGATCCACCCCAATACTCGCCTAAACTGCCCTCTGTGTGCTACAAACATAAGTCCCTCCGCCTACACACCGGCCGTACGGCAACACTGGCTATATTTTGACAAGCTCGACGCAAACGCAAAGCACAAATGCACACACGGATCAGATAACTGCTAGGAGCATCACGCAGTATCTAGGCATATTCGGCGAGTGCTCATCGATCCCTCATTCTCCGATATCTTTGATCCCTTTCATTTTCCCTCTCCTCCGAAGTCATTCTGTTTTTCGTGTTCCATTTCGGCTTCTCCAAGCTCTCGCCAAGTTTACCTCCTCGCCTTTCAGTCACCTCTTTCCATTGTCGCCTCCGTGTTGAACGTTGAACGTACGTCCAGCCCAATCCTAGGTCCACGCTCTACCTACTCCCTCCGCGCCGCATCGCGCCCGACCGCTCCGATGTAAGGTGAGCTGCTCAGGTTGTCTATTCCGCCCGTCACCATTCCAACTTAACTCCTTCCCAGGAAACACGCGGACGTGCACCTTCTTGCCAATTCTACAAGATGTATACTACCACAGAGCGTTGGTAGCGCCTAAACCGATCGCCACCTCGATTTTCCGTCGCCATCTCGGTGGTGGTTATTTGGAACATAGCAAACGCGCAACGCTTTGAACACCGGCTCGAATTCGACGGCGTGCCTCGCCGCCTCCCAATACGCAAACGGGCTCTCACCGCCGAAGCCACAGGACGCCGTTACCTTCGATACCTTCCGATGCAAGAAACCAGTCCTAGCGGCGTCGGTGGATCGTGAACAGCGCAGTTGCGGTGCGTGGCTATGTTTCATCGTTCTCCCCCATTTCTTTGACCCCGGTTCGCGCGCGGCATTCGAACTGTTCGCCGCTGGCCGTCCCCATTAAAACGCTATCGAATGTTTTCGATCATTGATCTCTTGGGGGTGTTCAGGGCGAAGGCACAGGAAATCAGCCCGTTGTTTTGCGCCGCGACTCCTGCAGATTTCAGTCGAGCCCTGACACAGGAGCCTCCATGCGCCGGCAGACTCACCTAGTTTAAGTCCGTGCTGATTTCTTCAAACTCGCCATCTTGTCAGGGTGCGTCCGCCTTCATTTTCTCGCGGGCGGAATGCTATATAGATTTGATTTAGCCTTTATTTTGCTCAACGGCCCATCCAGAACGCTTTCTTTCGGGAAGTTGTAATAAGACTGGTACTTGTGGATCAACTCTTTGAGCCCCGGAAGGACTTATCGTATCGCTTGCGATCGCATTATAGTGAGATCTCGCCTTATAGACTCGGAATGTATTTCTTGCGGTTTGTTTAGACGTGCGGTTCTGGTTCTATGATCGCTCATTAATTACAGTTCTCAAGGCTGTTTCAGAGATCTGTCCTGTCCAATGCTGGCTGCGTTTCTTGGCCCGATTCCGCGGCCTGCTCGTAGCGACGGCCGACCTCGAGGACTGGGGAAGGAGGTCCCCAGGATCGAGTGTTCATCTACAGGCAACGAGCCCGCCAAGCAAAACGGAGTCAAATCAATGTGTCTCTGACTTTTGCGCAAGTGGATGCGAGATCACCGCGCTTCGCTGCGATCTAGCATTGTCAGGTTTCCTCTTTTTTCGTTCGTATTTCTCACTCGTTTACGGATTTCTTTCGTGCCGCTGTCGATGCGCTGGGAAGGCGGCCTTCTCTGGGATTCACGCATCTCACTCAACACTCGAGGTGTATTCCATCAATGACGACGATTCCGTACCTCTCTAGATCTGCCCCAACTGCGACAAGGACGAATCCGCGCCCAAAAAGTGCTTAACTTTTCGGGAACCCACACCACGCAGGACCACGCTCACTTTTCTTCCGTCTGCAGAGGCCCGCGGTGGAGGCTGCGGCTTCGGATGCGGCAAGTCAACACGGCTAAGGCATGCAACGGCGTTATTAGAGCAGACAAAATCATCGATGCGTTGTTTTTCAATTCTGACGGCGTCGTCGCTGACTTGACAATTGGCTTCTGTGAACAGCTGAGTCGCTCCCATTGACAATAAATAATTTGTGGTCGTTCCATTCACACAGTACCATATCAGTCCCTCCAAATGCGATCGTGGTTTGAGCACTCGCTAAAGCCCTTTTACAGTGGATCTCGTACGGAATGCAGCGCTGTGCTGTATCCACTAGCTACGTGAGTATTCAGCGGACATTCAGCAGCCGTCGGGTTCGACTCCTGACATTCACCTGCGAATTCAAATTCAATTTTGCGTGTCCTTTCGGCCAGACGCCTTCAAGTGGGCGCGACTCAGGGATTTAAGGAATACCATCGAGGGAACGGCCTGTCATTACGGTACTCTCACCCACCTCGAAGCAAATACCAATTTAAATCCACCGTTTCGTGTTATCATTAATTTCAAGCGGAACACCCGCTTGTTTGCCCAAAGATCGGAAGTAGATGGAAACAAGGGTACATGAGGATGTGACTGATAAACTCTGGTATCATAGGAATCTACGCTGGAAATGATTCAACTCAGGTGGAATTAGCAGCAGGGAGATTTTTCCAAACACCCCGAAGTAATGCTTGGAACTGCTCGCAGAATTTTCGATTGCCTCGGCGCTCCCAATTTGCATTGAATGACACATAACTACAACTACTCCTGGTTCTCAAACAAACACATGCTCCGTCGCGAAACATTTGCAAAACCCGCGTACTACTCATTGTTGCCAAATTCTTGCCCCATTTCTCCGTGGCCAAAATTCTACTGCCATCTTAATTTTGCGTTAGTTTTTCTGAGTAAAGTGTCACGTCGTCGAAGAGCACGGCGCCGAATTGAATACCTATCTCCAATGTTGGCCAGTTGAACCTTCAAACCGAGTTTCGCCGGCCAACGGATCAGTGACTCCCTCTGTCACATCAAACCTGGTCTGCTCCTGGCCACCACGACGGCGGCAAGGCCGCGATGCTCGACCCGCACAGGACTCCTCATGTCCATTCTCTCGAGCGGGAACGTCTGAGTCTTCCACTCACCTTGTCCGTCCCAGCTGGATGTGGCCTTAACTAGGCTAACGACGACCAGAAACCATTCATGCGCTGAGCCCAAAGATCTTGTTCAGCGAAGGAGGGATGCGCTGGGGTGGAGTATGCTCGTCGCCGGACTGGGAAGTGCGTTATCCATTCTGTCTTGTC